TAAAATAAAGCCCAACACAAAAAAAACGGGGGCCGCGGGTGTGCTCAAAGAAAATTTTTTTTTTTTTTGGGGGGGGGGGGGTCGTGTCGCATCACGTTTCCCAGGAGTTTACAGGGGCAACGATACGATATATTGCGATATATTGCGATGTCACTTACTGGCATGAATTGCACGTCCTGGAAGAGCTCCTGTATGAATCGCCTGGACGTCAAGCGAAACATGCAGTGGGCCAAGAGGTGCGATACCTCGGAGTACAGGCAGATGTCGTCAAAGGCGTAGGAAAACTTCTCCTTTATCCTGAGAGGAGACAAACGGGGTTAAAATGCAGTGCGGCCATTATCGGTGACGTTAAAGTTTTACGTAAGGAGAAGAGTTTTTTTTTTTTTTACGTCAGCAGTCCTGTTTCGTGACCTTTGGTTCCCACGGAGGAGCTGAGGTTGATGATAAGTCGGAGGACCTCCTTCCTCAGCAGCACTCGGGAGGCGGGGCCGTCCTCTGATATCGCCTTTCCGTCTGAGGGAGACGGAAAACAAGAGTCTCAGAAATTCGTAAACATGTTTTTCATTGCTGTCGACGTTTACAGAACAGCACGAGGGGTCAGTCAAAATGTCCTGAGACAAATGTATGACTAAGAATCATATCCCCCTACAAACCACTAGGGGGTGCAAAGGTAATTTATAATTCAGAGCAATGGTTCTCAAACTTTTTTACACTCCTGTACCACCTGAGAAAACATTGAGCTTTCCGAGTACCACCACGATGACCGACGTTAGCATATATTAGCTTCCCTGTTAGCTTCCTCTTTCGTAATATCACAAGTAGCTACACGTTTTTTTTTCCAGATATCGTATTAATTGTTTCAGATTCATTCAATTGAAAATATAAATGTGAATTTTCTCCCGCGTACCACTAGAGAGTGCTCACATACCACTGGTGGTACACGTACCACAGTTTGAGAACCACTGATCTGGAGCACTGACGTTATAATTCAGATTCCGATTCAGGTGTGAGTTGAACCTACTGATGACTATGTCCGCCGGTGTGGGTGTGCTGCAGATCGAACCCTGCGACACCGCGGAGTCGCTGCAGCCCGACACCCCCGAGAACTTGGACTGAGGCATGACCTCCAGACGATGGCCGCTCTGGCCCCCCCAGGACGGAAAGTCCACGTAGTCTGTCGGACCAAAAAAATTTATTTATTATTTTTTTTAACATTTCGGAAAGTCAGGTTTTTTTTTTTTTTTTAACATTTCGGGAAGTCGTGTGTGTGCGTGCGTGGACCCACCCGTCCGGGGGTGTGTGCTGTTCAGCTGTGGTTGAGTGGGGTACCCCAGAACAGAGGCCCCCACACAGTACAGGCAGTTTTCTTCACAATGTTCCTGCAGTCCGGTCTCCTCTGAGCCCACCATGTGGTTCTGACCCTCGCCTCGGCACGCGATCAGCTCCGTGATGCTGAACTGCTGCTTCAGGACCGGAACAGAAGGACGGTCCCCTGCACAGAGACATGGGTGTGAGCATCAAAGGAAAGTAGTAATAAAAAAATATTAAGGATGTCCGATAATGAGCATATTAACTGATCCTGACATATACAGTCCCCTCCAAAAGTATTGGAACGGCAAGGGCAATTCCTTTGTTTTTGTTGTATACTGAAGACATTTGGGTTTCAGATCAAAAGATGAATATGAGACAAAAGTTCAGAATTCCAGCTTTTATTTCATGGTATTGACATCCAGGTGTGTTAAACAACTCAGGACTGAGCCCCTTTTCTTTGAACCCACCCACATTTCAAGTGAGCAAAAGTATTGGAACAGACATTATTAACATAAAT